TCTATTTGAATAAATGGTGATAGAAATTTCGAGGACGAAATTTATTTAGTGGGGAAGAATTATAACATCCTAATTTTTGTAATTATTTATTTGCTTAATTTCCTACAAATTATTATATATTTTATTATAATAAATATTATGTAAACTTCTTATAAGTGGATTAAGAATATATACAATTAGAGAGAAAATTCTTAATAATTTCTAAGGATTTAACTTAGAAAATTTATTTGATTAAATTAAAAATTAGTTAAAATAATTAGGAGGTGATTAAGGGGTCCAATCCTATAATTCTAAAGGTAAGGATTTTAATGGTAAATTTTATTTCTCCAAATCTCAATTAGATTTTAAGAAATGGAAGGAAAGTAAAGAAAATTCTAGAAAATGCTACAATTGTGTAGCAACACCGTCAGGCACAATTTTGCTCCAATTGGCCGAATTTTTGGCCACAAAATGAGTCAAAATTTTGACTAGAAGTACAACCATGAGTTAAGCTGGTGGAGAGACATATAAATAGAAGGAAACCATAAAGGAAATCATGCAAAATCAACATTTGAACAAAAAACTAAAAAAAAAAAGGAGAAGGTCGGTGATGTATGAACCATGGCCTTAATGTATGAACACATTTGGATTGATTTTATCACAAAATTGTTCAAAATTTTTGACCGAAACTTGGAGAAGAAATTAAGTTGGTGAGTAAGCATATAAATAGGATGAAATTGGAGAAAATAAACCATATGAAAACCCACACCAAATAACTCACAGCCAACTTGGAGAAAAGAGACACAAACACCAGATTTTGAGAAGAAAAATAAGAGAGAAAGGAAGAAAGGAGGAGAGTAAGAAGTAGGAGAAAGAAAATCTAGAAGATCTTGGAGAAATAAGGTATGGATTAGATGTTTAATTTTATTCATACATTTAAGATTAGAATGATTAATTTTGTTGATTGCTTCATGTTTGAAAAGCTTGAAATTTTGTTGATTTCGGGACATGGAAGGAATAATAGAAAATGTTCAAGGGTAAAATAGTCATTTCACATGCTAAGGACATAAATGGAATCTTGAAAAAGATTAAGGGTATAATGTAATTTAATAATGATTTCGGGACACAAAAGGAATAATAGAAAATGTTCAATGGTATAATTGAAATTTGAGAAATAAAGTAATTTTAGAAATGAAATAAAGGTATATTAGAAAAATAATTAAAATGAAGAATAGAATTAGAAATTTTAGAAAACAATCATATGATTAATTCAAATTTATAAATAAACTAATAGACATATTGGGAAACAAAATTTTTAATTAATTAGACACTAGAATATTTGTTAGATGTTTATAAAGTCACATGAATTTGCCTGAATTGATATTGAAATGATGAATATAATGCATACTACATAGCACATGGACATAATGCATAATATAAGTTCCTAAGTCAAAGAAATTTTGAAAAAAAGTAAAACAAATTGTTGAAAAGTTTTCTTTTAAATATAAATTACTATCAAAGGCATTAGTAGCGTATATAATGGTGACAATGGAAAAGATTGTAATGGAAATATGAAATTCATGTTTGAGCTAGTGATGTCATTGATAGTAAATGAGGATGAGTAGAATGAGTAAAACAGGACCTTTGGTCTATAGGAGTTGGACCCTGGGTCTAGAGAGAGTTTTGGTCATTGGCAATTCCACAAATGACCATTCTTTATTTGATTTTGTGTCGTGGTAGCCTTTCGGGCGCACTGACACTTTGACTACTATTTACCTATTCGCGTTTAATGGGGTATTGCTGAATCACTGGACATGGTGATGTTAAGCTCTAGCTTCATTAAACTCTCAAAGGAAAAATCTCCATGGAGTATAGAGTCAAACACATGATTTTAAAGTTTTGCATTTTGAGTCACATGTGCATATCATAAACATATTGCATGATTAAATTGTTGATTATTTATAAATTGTATGATATTCTCTATTATAATTCCACAAATAATTTATTTGTTATAGATAAAATTAAATGTCTAACCCCATAAATATTTCAATCCCAGATATTGGTAACATGTGATGCAAGAATGTATAATTCAAGAGATAGATGTCAGATGCAAAATGTAAAGCTTAGGTTGGGGATTGTATAATTTATAATTATAACTTTATTACTTGTAATATTTTGAAAACTTTGTACTAAAACTTGTAGTATGATTTGATATAGAACTTTACCTAAATTATTTGTTTACTTTGGTATATTTTCTATTAGCCTATGATAATATTATATAAAAAAATAATAACTTAGATAATAAATTAGGATTAATAAATGTAATCTAGAAGGGGGTTACAACTTGGGCCTTTGACTGTTGGGCCTCCCATAAAAGAGTTACCTTCTATAAAGCTTATTGCGCCTTTCTAACCCTTCCTCTAGTCATTGGTCAAATTAAATCTTCAATTAGATCTTCATCTTTCTTCTCATGGTCTTGGGCTTTTATGTCTACATCAATAACCAAGAACAATAGGACAACCCACAATAAGAAGACAACAAACTAGAAAAACATTCTCCTAACTATTCCCAATATTAGATGTTTGTACACATAATACTAACATATTATATTTGAGTTTCACTTATTTCTTTAAGCCTCTTTGTAAGTGTTGACATTATTGTACATTATTACCATACTTGGTCATTATGTTTAATTATGGATAATTTGAATTAGATTTGATTTGAATTGTGTGTAATTTGAATTAAACTATCCTTGAATTTTATATATATATATATATATATATATATATATATATATATATATATATATATATATATATATCATGCTGAATTAGAGTTGATACATAAATAGAAAGGTTTTACGTGGTGTAGCCAAATTTTGGATTAACTATTGAAAATAGGGAAATTATTAACTGATGTTTCCAATGGATAAATTTGTCGATGAATATTAGCATAAATAATAATGATAATTATCAACAACTATATATGTTAGTAAATACCAAAATCCTAAACCCTAAATCTTAAATGTCACTAAAACACATATCATCTTTAATATTAGTGATGGATATATATGTTAGTAATAGATGACAACTCATCATCAATAATTATCCATGACCTATTCCCATTCATATTTTTGTCGAGTAATTATTGATGGACGAGTTAAATCCATTGGTAAATTTTAGCAACAACATGATTACGAAAATTTTTTATCCATCAATAATATGTTGGTAATATACATTTATCAATAGATTTTCTAGTTACCAAAGAATTTTATCTATTAATTAAACTAATTTTTCTTATAGTGAATATCCACTTTGGTATTTTGTTGAACAAAAATGATGATATTGATTCTCAATAATAATTTCGATTTTTGGGAAGTATCTGGGTCATCGAATAATAAGGGTTTCCTTTTTTTCAAATGAAAGATTTGAAAACTTATTAATTCTAATAACTTATTCTAGAGGAGTGACCATTCATAGATGTTGATCTCATACCTATGAATGGGATATCCAAAACTCACAAAGACAAAAAAGAAGGAAGTGAGTTAGACAAAAAGAGAAGAAACTTGGAATAAAAAAGAAGAAGTAACTTGGATAAAAGTAAACAAAGTAACTTAGACAAATATTTTTTGTGGATAACCTCGTACCAATCAATCAAATATTAATTAATATGTAATCGGTTCAACACTACTTGAGAATGACTATTCTTCTTAAAAATGAAATAGTCCAAATATTCTTAAAAATTCTTGCTCTCATTTAACCATTTGTATGTATATGAATTAGGATCTTATTCATATATTTCTCCATTCAAGAAATAAAAATAAAAGAATCTAATCATTTCTTCTTACTTTTTTTTATATTTTATAAATGTTAGTTGATATGTATTTCATTATAGTTTAATATTTTAGAGTATCATTTCCTATATAATATCTTTAAATTCATATTTTAAGTTATAATTAAATCAATTCAATATATTTCTTATATATAACCATGAGTGTTATATTAAATTTAAATCAGATTTCATATAACGCACTCCATTATGTTATTGCTAATAAATATAAATATTTTAGGTTTGGAATCTTTTAAATTATTTTCACTGAGAGATTTGAATTTTTATTTTTTTATGATCATTCGATGAAAAATATTATCATCTTGTAAAATAAAAGTCAAATATCAAATGATATAAATATATTAAGAATTATATAATATTGTACGTTATAAGTATAATATATAAAATATATTAAATTTACAAAATATATATGTATATATAATTAATATATATATATATATATGTATATATATATATATATATATATATATATATAAATAATTTAGACATGTAATTAATAATTTACATTTTTATTATCTTGTGCAATTCAATCTTATCAATTATTAATTTAAGATTATAAACTTTTTAAATTTCAAAATAAAAATATGAATTGAAAATTTAACTAAAAAAATGATGTATAATTCTTTTTTAAAATATATTAAGAGTATACACGAAATGGGTTGCCAAACCTATTAATTAACTCAATAATTTTTTTTGGATTGGGTTAACTTTTTAGATTTTATTTTGTTAAATCCAATTCAATTTAACCTTAGTTGAGTTAATTCGATTAAATATTTTTAGAAATAATTTTTATTATTAAAATTATTAATTTTAAAAAACTTTTTAAAATATTTTTTCAAAATAAATTATATTATTTTATATTTAAATAGTTTAGTATTTTAAAATACATATTTAATTTATATAATAATTATATTATTATTATTTAATAATTTAATCAATTGATTAAATTGATTGTAAGATTTAATATATAAAACTTATCACTCGTAAATTAATTCATATTAAATTAAATTAATTTTCACTCAATTACATATAAAATCAATCCACTATATTATATTAAAAAATCCTAAAATATGTTATAAAATCAGGATAATCAATCAGTTATTTTAACTTAATTAATTATAAGCAAAATATATTTTTGTGAGGAAGTAAAAGGAAAATGACCCTTTCCCATCATGGGTCCACCTAAGACCTTGATGGTTTACTCAAACAGCAAGTTAGTCAAGTATATATATATATATATATATATATATATATATATATATATATATATATATATATATATATATATATATATATATATATATATATATATATATATATATATATATATATATATATTATCTTTTGATCGTAATTAATGTACAACTAAAAATTCGTAAACGATAAATCACGTTACGAATTTGACTGATTATTTGAATTAATTGGACTTTTTTTTATCAATTATAATTTTTTCATATAAATATTCGATTTTCTGTAGAGTAATTACTTAAAAAAATTAATTTTTTTAATATTATAATATCAATCATTAAAATTATAATTTTATATTATTTGTGACGATTTAAATATTTTTTAGATTATTTTTTTCATGTAAAAACTTGAAGATAGTTTTAAAACCAACATCTAACTTTTTTTTAATGGGTTGAACAGTATATTTATTCTCCAACAAATATTTTTTGTTATAAATAGTAAGTTTTTTCGGAGTTAAGATTAAAATAACTTATTTTAATATTTATGATTTTAGTTTTTTAAAAATTAATATTATTATTATTTATAATTTTTTATCTTTTATATTCTTTTATATTTTTATATTTTTATATATATTTATTATTTATTAATAATATATTATTTCACATTTTAATATTAATAGTCAAATGCCCTATTTAACATGATGTATTAAAAATTTCATATATTATTTGACTTAGGTGAAAGATATAATTTAAATGCTTATTAAATTATTATTTATATTATCAATACATTTTATATTGAAATCTTAATAAATTGCATTAAAAATTAATTATATATTTAATTCATACGATATTTTTAACAATTTTTATTATATTTTTGTTTACAAAAATTCAAATCCAAAACCTTATATGTACGCATTACTAAATATTTATTTTCTCCTTGATAAGTATTTTGTCGCATTCAATTTTTGTGTAATTATCTGTTTTCCACAATTAGATGGTTTGGGCTTGTTTATAGTGGAGCAATAGTACTAGTTCATATACCACCACATATGTCTCTATCGCATTTTGGTACAGGTATTGATTCTCCCACACACCCTAGCACGATTTGCAGGAACCTATAAACTTTAGTATCAGTTTGACGAGAGAGGATTATTATAGGACAAAACTAGTATGTAATTTTATTTGTTAAAAGTACGTATTATTTATATATATTTTTCAATAGTTTTATCTAAGAAAATAGGACTAATCTTAAATAATATTATAGTTTCGTTTCACAGAAATAAACTTTAGTTTTAATTGAACGCCAAGGAGAAAAAGTACCAGAAAATTGTAAACAAATTCTAGTGAGTTTTAAAGCATTTGTTTTGAGAATAAAAATCCTAATAAAACATTATGGGTATGAAGTATTTGTGATTTTCATCACAACTAATCTTCACTTAAAAAAATATGGCTAATTATCTACATTTTCATAATTTTTTTCCATTTAAAAATTTGAATTTGAGACATGATTAATTTAAGTTTGACTTCAGTTTCACTTGAACCAATAATTTATTAGTCTATTAAAAATAATATTTAATATATAGATAAAAAATCAAGAATTATAAATTATTGAATAAAAAATTGATTATTAGACACTTTTTTTTTTTAAAAGAGACACAATATTAAGATTGTTTTTTCAATAAAAAACAATATTTCTTATATTTTTGTAAAGGAAATCTACGAGAAGAATCAAATATGAAATGCAGACTAGACAATAATTAATAGCAATCATACACCACAAGTATAAATTTAAAAATGTAAAAACGAAGAATAACCAGTCCACAACTGTAGGTTATAAATAAAGAAGAACCAAAGTACCAATAGCTAGTCCACTGATTAATTTCACTTTGATGCAATGTCTATCTCTAAAGATCATTCATCAAACGGCTGATGATTTTACTGATCCAATGATTGGGCACAATACGTTCTGATAAGATCTACCTGTATGCATTTTGTCTTTAGCTTCCTGCACCAGTGTGTGTGCCCCCTTCAACTTGATATTACCCAAATGAATTGTAGAACTATACCTTAAAAATTCCTCAATGTGTTTGTGCCAAAACCATCTCTTTGTTTACATTAGGTAACAAATGTACAAGTATAACTCAAACAAAAGTAGAACCAAATTCAAAAGTAAAGATCACACTTTTTTGTACAGTTAGGCCAGCTTTGTCGGCAAGTTGGGCTTAATAGGGTCCACTTTTCATTAATGGGAAATGAAAATGCTAGTGATAGTTGCGCTCTTTAAAATCAAAAGGAACCAATAAACCTTTTGTGATAACCACAAGCACTACCAACACCACCACCAAATTACCATTATATCAAAAGCCTTGTTGAGAAAGAGTTATTGCCACTTCCAACTCCTTCAACTCCCTCTTCTTTCCACAACTCGCAAACAAGCTTGGAGACTATAAACTGTGTTTTGTTCTATCACTCCTTCTCGTCCAAAGTTAGAGAATAAATTCTCGAGATTAGAGCTTCTGAGTGGAAAGTCAAAGACTAATCTGTCGAGATTGGAGCCATGTGGCGCCTTCTGACAGTGGTGACTAGGAAACTCCAAAACACAAAGAAGAGTTCCAGGGTTGCTGATGAGAACATGTTTGAGGCTGCAAACGGGGTTGAACTTGCCATGTTTCGACGTGATAGAGGAAGAAGGGACCATGGCTGGAGTGGAATCTCTCTTATCTATGGCATTCTTCATGCCCCTATATCAATTTTCTCATGTATGTCTCATCCTCAAGCAAACGGGTCAGATGGGGTTTGGGTGTCTGGTGAATTTGTTCAGATTTCTGAAATGAATCATCTTATGGTAAATGATAGCATGAGATATGCAATTTTGATGTAGAAAGTTTATTAGTATGTGAATATAATATATATATATATATATATATATATATATATATATTATATAGCTTTTGTAATTGTTTGGCTTGAGTTTCCCTAGCTTGGGACTATATGAATTAGATTGGACAATAGCTTTCTTTTCTCCTCAAATTTTCCCTTTTTCTTATCTTTTTTTCCCTTCCTATAGTTTGGATCATATAAGATACACTTGGTCTTTGGTGTTTGCATGAATCATCCAAAGATGTGACCTGCCTTTGTTTTGAGTTCATGTGAAAGAATTTTCTGCATGTGCCAATGTTAGTAAAGAAAAGAAGTACATGTGTTTGGAATGACTAATTATATATTAATGGAATTACCTCAATTTTCCTTTATTATCTTTTCTCCCTTGAAAGTTTGGATCATATGAAATACATTTATTGATGGTTGTTATGTGTTTTATTTTCACTCTCAATGCTAAACCATATAAGCTTCTTTAATAACTTTTTCCCAACTCATGGTTTTTCCAACAGAAATTCAATTACATCATGGATGGGCCAAAGATTAGCCTCCTTTAGTACATACATATGTATGTTTCTTCTTCAAATTCTTTCTTTTCATGTGTATATATTTTCTAAAAATAACTATTGTAGAAAATTTGCAATATATGGCCAGATTCCTGCTTTTTTCTATCTAGAAAAACATTGTGTTATAAATAATTGATGATTTAAATTATGCAGACCTGATTTATGTCATGCCTTGCAAAGAACGAGAAAACATATGGAAGGGTTTGGCCTTAAAAGTGTTTTCATTTATATATGAATAACAAAAACTATTCACTAAACCGTGTATTGTATTCTCTTATATAATGAATTGTACTTAGTTGTGGGTGTCTCAAAGATGTCATATTGGAAAAGAGATTTTATTAAAGTAATTAATCTAAAACACCATATGAACAAATTAAATAATCAATTAGGACATAACGAAGAAGGTAGTGGCATGGGTAGGTGGAATTTTGGTTCACTTTATTTATTGCAATTATGTTTATGGATCAATTGGATTACAAAACTCTCTTTCTTAATATTTAAATTCTAATTCTCATTTTCATAATTCCTATAACTAGTCATATATATATATAATATTAGTGGAACTTATTATTTAGATATCAAGGCTACTAAAAAGTTTTGTAGTTTATATTTATATTTATAATGTTAGCTCTTAACTTTAATACCATTAAATATATATTTATTTTTTATATTTAAATTTTAACTTTTAATTTTTTATTTTTTCAACCTTTTAATATTCATTTATTAGTTATTAATAATATGTTATTTACTCTTAAAACATCAATATTTACCCATAATATATATTAATTATAATCCAATAACATTTTTCTTAATACTTTTTCCTTTATAAATTTTTAATTTTATTTAAAAAATAATCAGATTGGTTTAGATAATAAATAACGTCATGACTTCAATATTATAAATTTGAATTCTTTTTTTTTTAAATGGAATTCTTATTGAAGAATTATGCAGTCACATGTCTTTTTCCTTTTATGATAGTGTGTATAGTGTGCTTTTAGATTCAATCAAATCAATTTGTTTTCTTTTTATAGTTATTCAAATGGATAATATTTTTTATTAATATTTTTAATTAATAGCTGATATTTTTCAATAAATATTATTTATTTACAAATATATTTATCTTAATTAACATTTATATATATGAATAAATCTTTTCTCTATCTTACATTTGTAAAACTCATGCAATGTATATATAATACCTATTCAATTAATTACATGTGGGTCCTATTATTAAATTTATTGTAAATAAATACGAAAAAAAAAGAAAAAAGAAAAATAAATTTCTTTCGTAATTAAAATTAACTTATAAAAAAATTTAAAATAAAATTTTTAAAGATATATGAAAAAATTATATAAAATTTTTAACTTATATATTAGTTAATTTTATTAAATTTACTGTTTTAGAAAGAAATTTATCCCAATATCTCAATATATTTTTCAGTCAAATCACGGCACTGAAAATATGATGTGAAAGTAAATTTTGGACGTTTGCTGCGTGAATAAAGACAGAGTTCAGTTAGCTTTTGGCACTAAAAAATCAATTTGGGAATCTTAAAATATCGTTTCAATATCAATTGGATTAGCCAGTGATGTAGATCTCTCTTCTACTTAGGCTTTATACAACTTATTCATCACATTAATCACTATAAGATAAGGTTTTAAGGTTTTTATTTTTGTTTATGATAACTATAATAAAAGCTTTGATTAGGCTCCTCAAATTATTATATATTTTATACAAGATATGGCCGGCGAATAAACTCTAGGAGTTATCCTAAATACTCCAAGATGCTAATTTCCGAGGCCGTGATAATTAGTAATGCTACTTACACATTAATTTTGCACACCAAATTTTGCAATTTTAAAGAGAAATTTTTTGAAAAAAGTTACTAGTAAAATGAATGATGTGATATGAAGAGAAAAAAAATATTTAAATTTATCTCACTATATATTTTTCTTTTTAACAATAGCTATTCACTCCTATATTCAATTATTTAAATATTATAAATGGTATTCTTATTTCTAAATTACGATGCTAAGTTGTACAACTAAAAATGAGAAATTAAAAAAAAAATCTTCTAAAAGTTGTGTCCGAAAAATTTATCACAAATATCCATAATTTATTATAAACAATTTAGTAATGAAATACTTGACGAATAACAATGTTGTTATAAAATTTGACATCATAATAAAACTTTTGTGATACACTTAGTTCTGGTAAAAATAAAATTGTCACCTAATTTTATATTTTTATTAAAAACTCATGAATTAAAAAGTTTTTTCTATTTTAAATTGTAAGAATGACTTTTGTTCCATCTTTTTAATGTTGTGAAAATTATTAGGGTACTGAAACATATGATTATGGGGTTATATATGAGTAGTGCGAGACTATGTTCTCGGTTCTACGATGAGTACTAATGTTCTATCTAGGAATGTAAGTATCTCGGTCTCATGTATAATATGATAACATTGTTAGGTTCAATTCCCATGTGTGAAGTATTGTTTGCTATAGAACTCTCATTCGTTACGGTTTTGTCTTTAAAAAAGTCTCGTAGGTTAAGAGGGATGATGTATATAAACTATCCTTAGCCTCGATTCCTAAGCGATATAAGACTCATGAGCATACCAGAACATAATCCCCCAGTTGAGGACTAAGAGGTAAGAGTGGAGCAAGACTCAACTCTCGATTCCACAATGGACACCAATATTTCATATAGAAATGAGTGTGTCTCGATCTCATGTCCAATTTTTAAGTCTAAAAACTACAAAAAGATAGAAAGAATAGACCGAGCTTGATTAGGCATCGAATGGGTGGAAATGGTGAAGGCAAAAATCAAGAATGACATATTGAGGTAGAAGAGTAGTTATGATTGAGTTTTTTGAGAAAAGACAAAATATCGATAAATTGAGAATTGAGGAATTAAAAGATAAGAACATCGAAAAATTAGGAACCGAAGATTTAAAGAGTGGAAAAAGTGGACATGGATATATCGAAAGAAAGTTACATGGAAGGATTTTCCAGTAGTGCATCGAAAGATTGATGAAGGCGGTTAAGAAATAAGTTCCATAGAATACGCAAGTTATAAGTGAACGTGTATCAACAAGGTGAAGCGAGTTACAAGAAAACAACTGTTTGAAAGATTTTAATTTGTAATTTATAATTTGTAATTTCTATTTTTTATTATTTTCATGGTTACTTTAACGGTTACAAAAAAAATAATATATATAGGATAAAATAAAGGTAATTGTGGTAATTGCAAATTATACAACTTACATTTTGAAAAATGCTGCGAACTTGGAACAAGCATTTTTAATGGAGTTCTTTGTAATTTGGATTGTCACTTTAGTTAATTGTCTCTATCAATTTTTGTTTAACCTTGGTAATGGGTTAGATTTATTTTTATGCTATTTAATTTCCTGCACATTTATTTTTTGAGTAATTTACTTTTATAATTCTTTTATCATTCTTGTAAGTTATCTTAAATGTTTCAAATTGTAGTAAATATAAAAATTGAATGCGAATAATCTTTCATTGAAATCCACTGTGTAGTGAACTTTGAGTGAAATTAGAAGATCTCACATAGTGTTTAAGTAATTCAACATGTAAATTGTATTAATTATATCGAACAACGAATTATTTATGCTAGAAACAAATTGGAACGCTCGGTGGGACTCATCCGTTACACTAGTGCATGATATTAAGAAGTAGTAGAGTCATAATGACAAATCAAAATTCACAAGTTTCAGTACTAATACCAAATTCTACGGTAATACTCAGTGTTAATACTAATGAAAGTCAAACCGTGAGCGAAAGAGAAATGGTTCAGGACAAAGGAAATCAAAGTGGTCAGGAACCTACCCTTCAACACATAATACTAGTAGAGGATCACATATGAATAGTGAGAACATATCAGCCCATAGGAATAATCAGTGAATTCCAACAGCGGAAAGATATCCCTGGGGATGTCACCATGGCAACCAACTCTAGGTTCTAATAAGATGAATGATCGAGGTCAAGATCACTTGAGACTGGGGAATAATGGTAGGGGGAATACTGGAAATGGTCAAGGTGTTTCTAATAATGTAAACACTAGAATATCCAATAATATGTAGGGGTTATGAGACAACAAATGGATGATAGTAATCATGAAATGGTCAATATGTTATCTCAACATTCTACGGAATTGGCGACTATCCCATAACCCAACACCAAGTCAAGCCACTGAAAAGTAAATGCATTTTGTTCATGCCTTGGTTCGTCCCCGAACCACACCGTACTAGGAGAGGCTTTGGCTCTGATACCATTTGTAACGCCCTAGCTGCTTGTACGAAATTGCTGACTATCCCCATCCTTTTATCTTCTTTCACCATTTTATATTTATTCATTATTTATTAATAATATATTATTTGGCCTCCTCCAAAAATCAATGATCAAGATCCG